TATTATTACCCATAAAAGTAGAAAAGAAAAGAAAAGAAAAGAAAAGAAAAGAAAAAAAGAAAACCCACGCACTCCAGCAGCTGCTCCCCGTGGTTTCAAAGCCTCAACAGTAAGTCTTTAGGGAGCAGCCCGGCACGTGTTGCAAGAAGAAAAAGATCATTTACCAGTGTGTATTTCACCCAAGAAGAATCCTCATTAAAAGAAGGAAAAGCAATGCTTTAAAACCCCTTGTTTCTCCTACTATCCTCCACACAAAAAAAAAGAAAACAAATTTCATATGAAACACCAACATCTGTTCATGCAGTCATTGTTATCAAGTAATACGGCACAACACAATGAGGTTAAGCAAGAAAAGACGAGGGATCATATATAACTCAATAAAGCAATTTAATTAAAGCCCAAAGAAATTAAAATGATGTGTAGAAACGACAAAAAAAAGAAAACGAATTATCGCGTTCCACACAAATGTATATAAGAGGCAGAGCTCATGGCAACATTATCATAGAGAGTGTCAAGAAAACAAACATAACACTCGCGTCAGCAGATGCTTTAAAAGAACCATCAGTGCCTTTTTTCGCAGTAGTTTTATTATTCTGCCCACTCGCAGATAAGGTATTGTTTTCTTCCTTAGTTTCACTGGGTTTTGATTCTGTGGTCGTACTTGCCTCATTTTGTACCACAGGTGCAGACACTCCCTGGTTACCAGCAGCACTTTCAGTTGGTTTGGGGGTTCCAGTGGCCTCAGCGGCTTCTGGTTGACTTGTTTGGACTTCTTCAACAATGTCTGGGTCTTTTGATGGACCTTCCGATTCATCCAGAGTTTTGTTGATTGTATTGCACACATCAGCGTATTTGGGGCACACAATTTTACCCTGCAGTACACTCCCATTCACAGTTAGATTTTTTCCTTCAGGACAACTGTACCACTCATTGTTTCCACTGTACCGCACAATTACCTTGTTGAACTTGCAAGACACCTCCACACACACGGCACCAACTGCTGCATTTGCAGCCTTTAGTTCATTACCCTCAACACAACGTGAGTTGTTAGCAATTACACTTCCAGGCATTTGGCTCTGCACACCATTGATGCAGCTGTAACCTTCTGTTGATGTAATAAACGGGCAGTAATCCATATGTTCAGATGAATCTGAACCAACCTTATTGTTCTCCGAAAAGTATCGGAAATGCTCCGGAAGATCCTTAACTGTTTTTGATTCGATGCTGCTGCACCTTCCCATTGACTGGCGATCAGATGTGCACTGTAGTCCTGCAGGAGCGTCAGGGATATCATCGCTCTTGGTTGTGCAGAACATGTTGAGGAAGTTTGTTTCCCCGCTGTTAACGCACTTATTATTCAAAAATTCACAGTTAGAGTTATTGCCCCAACTCATCTGCTCTGCCATTGTCCAATTAACTTTATAGTAGCCCAGATCAGCGAAAGCTCCCATTGTAATTGCGGTGTAGTAACCAGCACCGACGAGACCAACCATTAACTCATCCTTTGCAATACGACGACTCCAGTGCGACCGTGTCATCATATTTTCGTGGTTTGGAATAAACATTGGTGCCTCAACAATACACTCTGTTTCACCCGCCATAGTCTCCACTGGTTGTCCCTTTGCGCATTTGCTCTCAGATGCCATCATTGCAGCTTGAACGTGTAGTGAACGTCTTGTCGAGAAGACATTTGATGAATGATGTACATTCTGTGTAAACTTGGCAGCACTGGAACCCTCTTCTTCAGGTCTCTCTTGCACAACACTGCCAACAGAGTCCCTCCCTGCAAAACGACCATCCATAACATTACTGTGTGATTCTCCCAACTCATATTCCTCTTGTACACTTGCAACCTGAGCGAGGATAGTTGATTGTAATTGTGCCGCAGGCATAGACGATGCACGAGCACGCGCTCTACCGTCAGCTCCCTCTGGCTCCTTTCTTACTTTCACAAATGACACACTTTGTAATTCCATACCTTTCGTAGAATTACAGTTATAATGGTCCATGACCTCTCTCCGCGTGTTTTTGGAGGCAACAACAAAAACATCTGCCTTATCGCTCAAACGATCATCCTCACCCACCAACCTATCCATCTTCATCAGCTCGAAATTGAAGCCAAGTGCATGGGCAATCTCATGAGCAGCAACGCGGACACGCTGTGGTGTGGCCACAATATACCGTGGACCGTAATTAATGATCCCAATAACTGGACGACCATCAGAATCCAATTTGGCACATGTTGCCGCCCACGCGAATGCTCCATCAGTTGTTGGTGTAGCAGCAACGTACAGCACCATGTCATAACCGGAAACACTCCTGGTTTTATGATCTTTCGGTATGAACTTGGAGCAAAGACCTTGAGGATCAGAGAACTCCGGCACAACAATAGGACCCTTCAAAGGTTTAACCAAAAGGCGTTCCTTGTGCAGATTAATTGCCTCAGGAAGAATCTCGTTAACAAGAATATTCTTTTTCTCTTCTGTCAAGATATCATGATCGGTGCAATTAAATTCAGTGTTCAATAAGGTTTTTATCGGATTCTTATTAACATTTTCAGAACAATCATGTCCAGCCATCTTCAAATTATCAAATACAAGTTTAATGCGAATCGGTTCCCATCCTTCCTGAGGTTCTTCTCTCTTTGAAGGAGCTTCGGTACTCCAAGTTTGCAACGATCCACTCACTGGATCACGAGCCTTCTCCTGTTTACTTAGATCGTAAGAAGTTCCAAGTTTGACAGACACTCTGTCAAACACACAGCGGTGGTGCTCTGTCACAGCAAGAGTGACAAGGGTGCAGTACAGAAGGAGCAACGGAGCAAACAAGAAGAGACGCTGCATTCCTTCACGTGTAATCTTGAAGGGTTTGTGTATTTGTGTGTCTGTAAGCAGAAGAGAAGAAAAAGAAATATTGGCAACAGAAAGTCAAATGCAGGATTATCAAGCATAGAAGGAAAAATAAGGAGGAAATGGGAAACCATGACCCCACCCATAGAAAAAAGGAAAAGAGAGACATATGAAAGTAACAGAGAGCCACTGTCAAGCAGACTGTGGATACAC